TGGGAATTTAGCTCAGCGGCATAAGTGCCTGCCTGGCAAGCGTGAGGTCATGAGTTTGATCCCCATTACCTCCCCCCCCCAAAAAAAGAAATTGTCATTTAAGAACTTCACATAAAAGCTGGGCCGAAAAGACAACAACTCAAAAAATTAGATGTAGTAGTGTATGCCTGTAATCTCAGCACCAGGAGGCTGAGGTAGGAAAATTGCTGTGAGTTGGAAACCAGACTGAGCTACAAAGAGAGTTCAAGGCCAGTCTGACTTGCGGATTGAGACCCTGTCTCAAGACCAGGCAAAACAAAAAATAAAATTTTCACAGCTGGTGGCTGGTGGCACATGTGCTAGTCCCAGCACTTGGGAGGCTGAGGCAAAAGGATTGCTGGGAGTTTGAGGCCAGCCTTATCTACATAGCAAGACCCTCAAAAAACAAGAGCTTCAGGAACTAGAGGTAGCCATACCTGTAATGGTTCCTGAAGACTGTGGAAGAGACTACACTGGGTATAGCAAGTGTGAGGCCAGTCTGAATTAATAGTGAGAAAGGGCTGGGCATGGTGGTGTACCCCTATAATCCCAGCACTTGGGAGATTGAGGCAGGAAAATTGTTTGTAAGTTCAAGACCAGCCTGGGGGCTGCAAAGTGAGCCCAAGGCCAGCCTGAACTGCATAGAGACCCTGTCTCAAAAAGGCCAAAAAAAAAAAAAAAAAAAAAAAAAAATGGGAAAGGCTGGGGATGGTCATTCTCCATCCAGAAAGCACCAGTCACTGGCTGCACGCTTTTTCGGGCCTTGAACTCAGGGAACTCCAGGAGTAGACTTCCTCTTAGTTGTTCACTCTCTTTACTAGACCCTTTAGTCACCAACTTTGGCCTTATCTACATGTTGATCCCAGCTTTGCTGGTCTTAACGTCTGACCTGTGTCTCTTCTTTATAAAGCTTTTAGGGTTAGGATTTTCTTTCCTACTGTCTGCACCAAAAATCCCAGTTGGGTCCCTCCATCCTCACCATTTGCTCTTGGTGGCTTTGATTTCTTTGTTAGGCCTTCCCCCATTTTTCTGGCTCTGCTCTATCTGCCCAAACCAGCAGGTGCAGGTGCTTGCTTACATGTCCTGGGCCTATCCTTTTCCTGTAAGAAGTGTCCCCAAACTGCTAAGGCCTGTGCCTAGAAAAGATATCTGTAGCACCCATGCATCCTGTAGTCACACAGCACCACTGCAGGCTGCAGTCCCGATCACACTGACTATATTGGCACCAGCAAGAGGAGCCCGAGACCTGGTCCAGGCTCTTGATCCCCTCTCCACGGCTTTCATCTTCCTCTTCGCTTAGACCCCGAAGTCTTCATCTCAGCCTTTCACTGTCCAGAACTAGTTGGACCCAGTTATGGAGGGGACCCAGTTGGGACCTCAGTTGGACCCAGGAGTGCAGGCCCCTGCCCTCAGCTGTCTTCACTCTGAACTGGGAATTCGGTCTCCCCACTCTCCCTGCATGTGTCCAAAATTCTGTTTCCCTGTCTGCTGCTGGGGCTGCCTCCTGAGAGTGCAGGGCTCAGGCTTCCAGACTTCAGTTGCAGGTTCCCCTGCAATGGGAGCTGGGGGCAAGCCTCTCTGCACGTGAGCGCCCTCAACACCACAAACCTATCACACAAGCAGGAGCTCTAGGAGCTACAGTAGCAGCGCTGTGATCGTTGTGCCTGAGAGCCTCCATCTCTACCCCTAATCTGTGATTTTGGTTTCCATGGGGTTTTGGGTTGGAGCAGGGGTGAAAACTTGGTGTGGGAAGTGTAAGCCTTTAAACTGCCCATTCAGGATTCCCCAAACAGGTTTCCCATCTCCCTGTCCTCTCCTTTCTCTGCCCTGGCTTCCCTGGCTTTGTACATGTCTGTGTACATGTGTGCCTGATGTTTGCACATCAGCTTGGTTGGCCAGGTGCACACTCCCGAGCCCAGAGTACCTTTGGGCCCATCTCAGTCTGGAGGTGTGTAATTCCTTCACCACCACTGGCTGACGTTCTGTGTGACCTCTTTGTGCCTCTGATTCCTAGAAAAGCTTGGAAAGGAACTTTGGCCTAGCACGTGCCCTAAGCCCTCGCCATTTCCATTGCCCTTGGAACCTGTATGCTGCACCTGTTTTTCTGAGTGGGACCCATCAGCCTGAGCTTCAGTGCCCCATCCTGTGGCTTCTAGGTGCCTCCCCACATGCCTCCCCATCTGTACCTCTGTGTATGCTCTGCCTGGCACTGCCATTGCTATTCTTAAGGCTCTGGTTCCCAGATGCTCCCAAGTGTCCTGTGAAGGTGCTGCTACACTCTCTGTCCGGCCTCCAGTCCCCTGTCTCAGGAGACATCCTTATGGGAGGCCAGGTCACGATGGTGGACAAACTTGCCCCTCATTTCCCCCTTGCCATAGGGGACTGGCTGGAGAAGGGGTGATGCAGGCCTACATGGGGCATGGGCCAGGGCCCGGGTGTGGGTGCTGAGTCAGTCCTGAGACTGATCCTGAATGTGTGCTCTCTGTACTGGCAGATCAGCCTTCCTGCCAGGTGCGGGGTGCTGCAGAGTCTGAGACTGGACTGACTGCTGAGAGAGTCTCATCTGATCTTTGTGTTATGTCAGTGTTGCTGTCAGTCTCAGTCCCTGTTCCCTGCTCATCTTTCTCTTCCTGCGTGTCTCTTGCTCTGTGTGTGTTTTCCTCAGTCTCTGCCTGATACGTCTTCACTGACTTCAGGGTATCTGTCTGTCTTCTCCAGTCTGTCTTGACTTCACTCTCCTGTGTGCTTAGCATCTCTGCCTCTACAGGCTCTTCTGATCTGGTAGCCTGCCTGCCTTTTCCTTTTTGGTTTCCCCCTTTCTTTTCCCTCTTGGGATTGAACCCAGCATCTTTGCACTGAGCTAAATCCCCAGGATCCCCCCCCCCCTTTTTTAATTTAGAGACAAGGTCTTGCTAAATTCCCCCGGTTAGGCTAAAACTCATGATCCTTATTCCTTGCCTCGCAGAGTGCTGGTAATACAGGTTTGAGGCTCTGTCACCTGTCAGCCTTTTTCTGTAGGAGCCAGGTGACTGGCAAGGGTTGAGGTTGTACCTCACTCACAAGTGCTGACTGCTGAAGGCCAGGTGCAGTAAAGCTGTGCCCTCTGGCCCTACCTATTCCTTTGGGTCAGGCTCTGTGATGGGTCTTCTGTCGTAGGGTCTTTGACTGTCTCTCTAACTCCTGGCCCTTCTTTTTTCCTCTTGATTGGGCTTCCCTTTCGAATGCAAGCTTCTTAGGAGTTGAAATTTTGCTGGTCATGGTGATGCAAAGCTGTAATCTTGGCACAGCATTCTTGGAGGCTGAGGCTGGAGGACTGGATAAGTTTGAGCCCAGTCCCAACAACTTGGTGAAACCTTGTATCAGTGATATAATAATAATAATAATAATAATAATAATAATAATACAAGGACTGGCCCTTGGTTCAATCCTTGGTACAAAAAAGTTCATATCTGTACCCCAGCACCTAAGATAGTTCTCAGCACATAATAGTGGCTCAGTAAATACTTGCATCTGCTGAGTGCACAACTCTTTGTTCCTGTTTCTGGTCTCTGACTCAGATTTTCTTCCTTTTAGTTTATCTCTCCACTCCACCTGTCTTTTCCTTTTTCTCTCAAGTCTTTCATCTTTTCCAGTCCTTTTTATTTTGATGGTCTCACAAAATTGCCCAGGCTAGTTTTGAACTTGTGATCCTATGCCTTAGCCTCCTGAGTAGCTGGGTTGGCAGTACCTGGCTGATCCCTCTCTGAACTTGTTTCTGTATTAGAATCTCCTAATCTTCCCTCTGCCTTGGCATCTGTCTCTCCCTTTTCTCAGGAACTCTTTGTCCTCGTGTCGTACATTCTCTTTGTATCGTTCCCAGTCTTGGTTTTTCAAAGTCTTTCTCTGCTGTTTCCCTGTCTTCTGGTCTCTCTCTCTTTTCAGTATCTGCATCTGTCTGAGTCTTACCATCTCTCCATCCACCTCTTAGCACCCGAGACAGACTGGTGCACCTGTGGAGATTAAGGAGCTGAGTTCTCACGTGAGGCACCGAGAACTGTGTGCTTCGCCCAGCCTCATGTCCTGCACATGTCTCTGCTCCTGGGTGGCTTTGGGGGATGCCTGTTGCCTGTCTGGTGAGAAGAGTTCCTGTCAGTAGGATGGCAGGCTGCTGCCTCGAGTGCAGGCCAGGCTCCATGCGTGGGACTGCTGTCTACACCCCAAAGGCAGGGATTGCAGGGCAAAGCATTGGTGCAGCAAGAAGAGTAGGGGGTGGGGCAGTCTGCCTGCTGCATCTGGCTGCCCAGTCATTGCCTTCCTGTCCTCTGAGTTTTTCTCCTTTTCCCACCACTTCCCTATCCTCTCCCAACCTCTTTCTGTCTCTCCCCTACTCGCTTCCCATTTCTTAGTCTCTACCTCTGTGCTCGTCTGTCTCTGACAGTATCTTTGTCTGCACCTCTGACTTGTGAGATTGAAAGGGTGATCACCAGCCTGTGCCTGAGATCCCAGCTCTGCCCATCTCTGCTATGTGATCTTGGGCAAGTCACTTCTTCTGTCTGAGCCTCAGTTCACTCACCTGTAGTGTGATAACATTCCGCTCTGCCTCACAGGCAGCACTAAAGGAAACATTGAGGACAGTGTGTGACCAGGCAGCACCGTGTGAAGGTGACCTTTTCTCAGGCCTTCACTGTCTTGCTTATATCTTTCCCGGATTCCCATTTAGTGTCTCTGCTGCTGTCTTTTCTCGTCTCCATTCCTCTTCCTGGTTTCAGGCCCTGACAGCCGTTACCTTCCAGTCTGTCTCCAGAACACCAGGGAACAATTGCTGCTGCTGTGGCAGCAGCCCTGAAGGGGATGGTACCACTAGTCACAGGTGTCTCCCCTCTCTGCAGCCAGACTTCTCACCCTGAGACTATCCTACTCCGGTAATTCTGCCCTGACAGGTTTGAATATATTACAAAGATAATTTGCTATAAAATGATACGAAAACCCCAGAAAAAGGCCCATCACAGAACAAGTTCTGTTGGTACAAGACAACCTTCCCATTCCCCTTGTTTTTCTCACGTGCAGGTGGGATGCAGAGAGGAGGGGTGAAGGATGGGCACGTGGCAGGCTGAGGGTGTGGGGAAGACAGGGTGACGTCGAGGGGGATGAGGGCCAATTCTGGAGCAGGAAGAGGGGAGGAAACTGTGGATGCTTGCAGCCACTGCATCAGCGCAGGCTCATGCACATCTCGAAAGGCCTAGGCACTTTGCCCAGACCTGTGCTCAGCGGGGTCAGATCAATGTCCTCGGGGGCCACCAGCGGTTGCAACGTGAAGCTCTGCAGGATGGCGGTGAAGAAGAGGAAGAGCTCCATGCGTGCCAGCGACTCACCCATGCACAGTCGGCGCCCTGCGGGGTGGGGGAGTGGGGAGAAGTGGTGAGACCAGGGGTGAAAGGCTGTACCCAGATCCTCAGAGGAAAACTAATATGAGGACAATGGCTGGGGACGTCCCAGACCCATCTGGGAAGGAAGGGTGTTTTAAATAAATGAGGGAGCAGAATGAGCTGGCCAGCAGAAGTGCAGCCACCCTGGATTCACATCCTGGCTCTGTCAAGTCTGCTTTTGTGTTCTTGGAAATTTCAGAGTATTTGAGATGGAGCATATACTAGTGCCTCTCATGAGATTGTGATAGTCAACACTGGTAAAGCACTGAGACTGGGATTTTTACGTACCTCTATGTGCTGTGCATTCTGAGCTCTTACTGAAATCCTGCTCTTAAGTCCTAACAACACCTAAAGGTAGGTGCAGTTTACAGATTGTGGAAACTGAGGCTCAGAGATGTCAAATGCCCAGTTCTTAGCTTCCACCTTTGTAACTTCTCAGAGCAGCCTGTAGTACAGAGCAGGCAATAATGCGAATTTCTCAATTATTATGCTTGTCGCTTTTCCCTGCTATGAGTAAGCAAGGATTGTTTTCCTGTTCAGGGAAGAAAAACTGGAACCACATCAACTGCGCCACCTACTGGAGACGCTGACTAGGAGCACTCCCAGATGGAACAGTTAATCTACCTCCCCATCTCCTCCCTCTACAAGGATTTAATCTTGATTTATCCAGGAGCAGAGTTGGGAGATAATCACTAGTATGAATGGATGAATGGGTGGGTGAATTGTCTCCTTCCAAAGGTGAAGATGGGGTGAGATGAGAGGTGAGAAGTTTGGGTAGTAATTAAGACTAGTCTTAAACTGTCTCCTGCCCTCACCAGCTGAGAAGGGCATGAAGGCAGGGCTCTTCTTGAAGGACTGATTGGCGTCCAGAAAATGCTCAGGGTTGAACTCCTGGGGCTTGACGAACTGGCTGGGGTCAGAGTGCACAGTGTTGAGCAGGGTGATGACATCCGTGCCCTGTGTGGGTGAGGAGGTGGTGTCAGGGTGTAGAACAGCTGGGAGGTTTCCAAAATAGGTGTTCCACTCTATAGCCCCGGGGTTCCTGGGGACAGGAAAGGGGGTGGGGATGGGACATGGGACTCATCTGGGCTTCCCACTGCTGAGTACTGCAAGCTGGTGGGGAACTGTTTCTCAGAGGCAGATGTGGGATTTCTGGGAAGTGGAGAGGTCTCTGAGGACAGTGGCCACAGGGATTCTCAGGATGAAATCCTAGACCCCAGGGATGCTGCATAAGGGGATCAGTAAGGGGAGTTGTGATAGGGAAGGGGTGTGGAGTTTAGGATAGGAATCAGTCTGCTATGGTATGGTATTGGGTCCCGGGGAGGGGCTGAGGTTCTGGATTTGAGAATCTCAGATATATGTCTGTCGCTAGGGTTCAGGATGCCAGTTGCTAAGGCCTGGGGAGTTGATTGCTAGGCTCTGGGGCCCCATGTGGTTTGCCAGGGAACTGGCACTACCTTGGGTAGCAGGAAGCCGCGGAAGATGGTGTCCCGAGTGACGCGGTGTGGTAAATTCATGGGGATGATGTCTGCGAAGCGCTGTACTTCGTGGATCACCGCATCGGTGTAAGGCATGGCTGCACGGTCATTCAGCGAGGGTAGCCGGGAGCGCCCCACCACCCTGTCGATCTCCTCCTGCACACGAGCTGGGTTTGGAGGCAGCAAGTGCTGGAGCGTGAGGGTCGTGCTAGAGTGGAGGGTACCCGTGGGCGCTTAGAGGCTGGGAACAGGTGGAGTGTGCATGCTTGTGTGTGGGAGCGGTCTCGCCCAAGCCTCCCAGTGCCCATCCCCAGGACAGGTTCCTGTAAGGGTTAGCCAGAGTGTGAAATACTGGTTGGTACAAGGACTCCAAAGGGTGGTTGGGTGGGCGGGGCTTCAGGGTGGGACTGGCTGGCTGATGGATCCAGCAGGTGGGCAGTGAGGGAAACCTGGAGGTGGTGGGCAGAGCAGAGGCTGGGGCATGGGCAGTGTGGACAGGTTCAAGGCTCTGTGTATGAGATCGGGGCTGCACCGCTGAGCACTAGCGTGTGGACCCTATGGGCCCCGTGGGTGGAGTCGGCCTCCTTGTGGCTTTGGCTGGGGGACCTAGGCTTTAGCTGTGGGCCGCTTCAGGCTGGGTCAGGTGGGGCTCGGGCTGCTGAGCACAGGCACACCTTGCACCTTCGGGTACTTCATGAGTATGAGGAAGGCGTGGCGCAGCGTGGTGCCCACTGTCTCTGTGCCGCCAAAGAGCAGGTTGTGTGTGGTCATCAGCAGGGTGTCCATGCAGAAGTGGCTTAACGGGTCCTTCTTCTCCTGAGGGGTTGAGAGGTGGTGGGGGCATGAGCCTAGGCCATGGATTCCATCCCCGCCCTGATCAGAGGCTCTAGGTGGCATGGGCTCCAGGTCTCTGTGACTGGCTCCCTCGCCCTAGACCTAACAGCTGTGTCCAGTTTCCAACCCCCCCCCCCAGCTTCCATACCTTGGGGAGCTGGGGAGCATGGACGGGCGGGCCGGGTAGGGCTGGGTAGGGCAAATCTCCATGGTGTGAGATTACCAATTTGGACAGTGCTTTAACTACTTAAAGAGCTGTTAATTGCTGGTGGCTCTGAAGGAGGCTCCAGCATATCTAGCTGCCCTAACTGCCTCTGCTGCTTCTCCCCATAAAGTTCCCAACTCCTTCCAATCTAGGTCTGCCTGGGTTTGAGGCCAGAGCCGCAGGACTGTGTCGGGTCACAGCAGAAGTGGGATTTCCAGGCAGGGTTTACCTGTGCCATCTTGGTGAGGAAGCAGTCGATGAAGTCCCGGGGAGAATCGGGGTCTAGGGAGGCCTGGTGTTCGCGGACGCTGTGAGCGATGAGCTCTTTCATGCCCCTGAAGTTCTTGAACATGCGTAGGTGTGGCCCGGGCAACCAGTCCAGAAGGCTCGGGAAGATGTTATACAGCTGGGGATCGGACAGGGTTGGAGGGGTGGGAGGAGTGGCTGGGGCAAAGCAAGTGGGTCAGGTTGTCAGGGAGCAGATCTCAAGCACAGCTAAATTCAGGAGAGACTGGAGGGGGAGGGGAGACCGGGGCGGGGCCAGGTGCCTGCAGGGAGCCACCGTGGAGGGGGATGGGCCGGACTGTAACTGGGTGGGTGCGGGCTGAGGCCAGAGGGCTGCCCTAGTTTTTTCCTCACTAGCCGCGTCCTCTTGGCCTCTGGACCCTGTTGGTCCCCCTGAACTCAATTCACTGACCTCACCCCAGGGCGTGCTCATGATCTGGAAGTTGTCGTTGATGAGCCGGATAATGGTAAGCAGACGCTCATCATCATAGTGAAAGCGGCTGCCGAAGACCACCGAACATATAATGTTGGACACCGAGCGGCTCAGCATAAACAGGGGATTGAAGGGCTTGCCTGGGGGTGAGGGGCAGAATGTATCAGCTGTGGAGACCCAGTAGGCAACATGCAGACCACCTGCAGCCACAGCCCTAATGTGTACAATGTCTGACCCAACCATGACAACCTGTCCTGCAGCGCAGAACACTTGTATATGCGCACGCTGCCCAGCTATGGCATACCACCACCTGAACAGGTGACCGCAACAGTGGAAAGAGCCCAGAACCCCACAGCACTCTGCAGTACCTCAGTAAACACATCACCCAACAGCAGAACAGGCTGGTCTTAGTGACAGAGCACCCCGCACACAATCAGACGGCACCGAACACAAAACATGGTAACAAAACACTCAGTAAATATGAGCCCAGTACTTACCAGTACACACAATTACAGGTCCAGGGACCTAATAACCAGCTGAGAATTATTCCAACATGTCACAGTGTACTGACACAATACCAGCATGCAGCAATGTCCTCATGGAATATAACACACAACAATGATACGCAACAATGCAGGAGACTGTAGAACACTGTGTGACATCAGAACACACGTGACCAGGCAGAGGGGTGGACACACAATACACAGGACACAACACTGGCAGCACAGCAGGCACACTCTGGACTGTTACATGTAGTGTCTGGCTGTACTATAGAAAGAGCCCACAGAGATCGGGTGGTGTCTAATTTCGGCCCTTGGGAGGCTGAGGCAGGACATCATAAGTTCAGGACCATCTTGGGTTCAAGGCCAGCCTGGGCTGCATGGTGGGATCCTGTCTCCAAAAGTCTAAACTATATTAAAAAAAAAAAAAAAGCCAGGGAAGAGGCTACAGAAACACACTTAACATCCAGTAATCCAATAGGCAGAGCACAGAAAATATTAAAGCAACACACCAGCCAAGACATATAGTACACAGCTGGGCACTGTGCAGCACCCTGTGTAATTCCAGGGCTTGGGAAGGTGAGGTAGGAGGATCACAGCAAGTTCAAAACCAATCTAGGCCATAAAGTGAGTTCAAGGCCAGTCTTCATAATGAAACCCTGTCTCAAAAAGACCAAAACAAAACCAAAAATGACATATAGCACAACCCAGAAAAATAGATCTGAAGTTAGACTTAGTTTGATCCTGGTTCAGCCTTCTAATCTTGATGTCAGCTGGCCAACTGATTTTCTTCTCCAAGCCTCAGTTTTCTTATCTGTAAAATGGGGCTGTTCTCCTGGGGCTATTATAAGGAGACGGTGATGTGTGCTTGGGAAGGCCTTGACTGGGGCCTGACCCATTAGGAGACTGGCACAAACCGTGGTAATGTGGTAGATTGAATAATGGCCCCACAAAGATATCTGTGTCCCTATGATGGAACGTGTGCATAGAACCTTTACCTTCCATGGGAAAAAATACTGTGCAACTGAAATTGAGGATTCTGAGATCGAAAGATCACTGAGGATTGTTCAGGTGATCACCAGAGTCCATCTAAAAGTTAACCAAGGGATGGGGTAGCTGGAAGACTGGAAGCTACCATCTTTCTGGCTTTGAACCTCAAGCAAGGGACCAGGAACCATTAGGCAGCCTCCAGAAGCTAGAAAAAGCAAGACCAGAGTTCTTCCCCCACGCCCTCCCAGATGAATGCAGGCCTGCCGACCCACTTTTATTTTGACTTTCTGAACTACAAGAGAATAAATCTATGTTGTTTTGAGCCAACACATTGTGGACTTTTTTCGGTGGATATTTTAAGATAGGGTCTCTCTGTGAAGCTCAGGCTGGTCTTGAACTCACTCTGAGTACCACGTGCTACCCACTGGAGCCCTCAAACTCTGTAACCCAGCCTTCCTCAAACTTGCAGTAATCCTCTGTCTCTGACTCCCAAGTGCTAGCCTTACAGCTATGCACCACCATGTTTTACAGAAAAATTTTTTTACAGCAGTAATAAGAAATGATAGGCAACTGTTAAGATTTCACTTACACCATATCATTTAATTCCTTCAGCATCACCTGCCACATCATCATCACCATCACCACCATCATCATCACCATCACCGTCATCATCACACCACCATCATTATCACCAGCATCACCATCATCATCATCATCATCATCATCATCTGCCCAAATCCAAGAAGACAAGGAGAGCAGAGAAGAGGGCTGTTTAGCATTCTATGCCTCAGTTTCCTCTCCTGTAATGGGACTGCTTCTTAGATTTGGGTGATTTTTCAGAGAGCTGATATAAGAAAAGTTCTTGGGACAGTGCTGGCATATGGTAGGTGTCCAATAAGTGTTCTTTCAATTTTATTTTTTTGGGAGGAGGGCAGCGATAAGGGTGGAATCTAGGACCTTGCACATGCTAGGCAAGCATCACACCATTACACTTCCAGCTCTGTATTGCTTACTTTTCATGGTTTTTTCCACGGGCCAGAGGATTTTCCCTGGACGTTTACCCCAGCTCTGCCATATCCTGGGCACATGGCTCAACCTTTCTGGGCTTTAGCTGCCTTCACCTGGAATAACACTGACTTTCCAGGGTTACTGTAGTGTGAAACTAGCTCGTGCCTCTAGAGTTCAGCAGAAAGCCTGGTATCCAGTAAACACATACTACTCTTTTTTTTTTTTTGTCTTTTTGAGACAGGGTGTCGCTTTGCAGTTCAGGCTGGCCTTGAGCTCACTTTGTAGCCGAGGTGGACTCAAACTCACGATGATCCTCCTGCCTCATCCTCTCAAGTGCTGGGATTACACATGTGCGCCATCTGCTTGGCTACTGCTCTTATGGCATTAACGTGTTGTTTGAGGACTTAGGTGTCAGGGGTAGGTTTAAATCCTGGCTCCTCCACTTACTAGCTTTGTTATTATATTTTAAGCCAGTCCCCTAACTTCTGTGCTCCATTTTCTCATCTGCATTTGGATTGTCCTGAGATTTACACGGATAATGTTTGAAAACGTGCTCAGGACCAGGCTCCACATATGGTCAGTTCTTAAGAACATCATCACTATCCATCACCATTACACAAACAGGGCTCAGAATACCGCAGACATGAGAAACAACCTCCCCAAACCTGGAGAGGCAGAGCCACGAGCCGACCCACCACCAGGGCGCGCCATTCTCCCGGCCGCTAAGCGAAGGGCCTGCGGTTTTTGCCTTCCCAGTCCTGCGATGCGACTTCCCAGCACCGCCGGCCAAGTAGGACAGCCGTGACTTAGGGGTGCAGACTGAATTCAGGGACCTGACCTTCGGTTTTCCGCAGCTCCTCCAGCAGAAAGCTGCCTTCCTCTAGGATCCGCTCCTCCATGCTCCTGTTTCCCATCCCGAAGTTCCGGAGAATCTGGAGCGAGAACCTTCTCAGGACCTTCCACCGCTCTCCATTGGAGAAGGCGATGCCTGGGGGGAAGAGGCAGCAGGCTCAGCCTCAGGGTCATCGCTGAGGCCGCTCCACCTGAGGCCCCCTTTCCTCATGTTTGCGGGCAGGGAAACGCAGCTGGGAATCTTTCCTGTCCCCACAAGCCCTGCAGATCCTCCAGGCGGGGGTAAGTGCCTCCTTTGGGCTTCTATAGCACTCTGGATTTTCCTCCCTACCCTCCTGGTTACTCCGTTTCAGTCTCCCCAATGAGGACCTGGTCACCTTGGGCTGTCACTGTCTGGTGATGAGTCCATGTCCTTCATGGTGTTGGGAGGACAGCGTGGGGCCTATACTGGTCACCAGTGACCTTGGCATTGCCTGGTGCACAAGCGAAGTGCCAGTGATTGCTCACTGATCACTGAATGAACAAATAAACAATGTAAGCAAGAAAAGTAAGCTCAGGACTAGGCTACATTCCACAGCCATTTGCACAGTCCTTATTTGCTGAGGTGGGCGGTACTGGGGATTGAACCCAGGAACTTTGCACCTAGCTAAACTCCCAGCTCACTTAAATTTAAGTTAGGTTAATTAATTATTTTTGAGACAGGAGCTCACTGTATAGTTCAAGCTAGCCTTGAATTCACTTTGTAACCCAGGCTGGCCTGGAACTGTCAGCGATCCTCCTGTCTCAGCCTCTCGAATGCTGGAACTCCCTGCCCCACACTTGGCTCATTCCCAGTTGGTTAAAATTTAAAAAAAATTTTTTGAAATAGTCTGCTAAATTGCCTGGGTGGGGCTCAAACTCATGATCCTCCTACCTTGGCCTGCTAGAGTGCTGAGATTACAGGTGTGAACCACTCTGCCCTGTTTGACCCTGGTCTTCTGACTAGTTGTCTTCATCCTTCAGGTCTTAGCTTGGAGATCTTCTCTTTCAGGATGACTTTCCTTGGCTCTCACAGCTCCCTGTCCACGCTTCCCCTGCCCACACCACTCTGGGACGTCACACTTTGGTGATGCTCTGCATTTCTCACTGGACTGGGAGCTACTCTAGGACAAGGACTTGGATATTTTCTGTCTCTGATTCTTCTGGATGTAGCAGAGAACTAGTTATTGAAGGAGAAGGAGAGGGAGGGAGAGAAGAGGGAGAGGGCAGGAGGGCTGGAGGAGAGGGATAAAATACAGTGTGTTGCCTTGAAATATATGCATCCCCTCACTGACTCTTTATAGCAGCCTTCTGATAGCAGACTGAGGGTCAGAGAGGGGAGACCACTTGCCCAAGGATACACAGTAAGTGGCAGAACCCCACAGTCACCTCCGTGTTGCTCCCGGTGGCTAATTTTAGTAATAAAGACATACACAAAAAGTAGCAATGTGGCTTTCTCAAGCACCCCATCTGAGGTCCCTGGACAGAAAGTGGTAAGTGAAGGAGACACCAAGAGTGAGCGTATATTTACTACACAATGAATGGTATTTCACCAGTCTGCTCAGATTCCACATCTGGCAGCAGCTGGGATGCATCTAGTGAAGGGAACAGGAGGACCTTAGGCACTCTTCAAGGAGACTGTAGGGTAGGATTTCTTTTCAATCAGAAATCTTTTTTTTTTTTGAGTCATTTTTTTGGGACCTTATCCCATACTTCCCTTTGATAAGAGGTTCATATTTAAGAAGACTTTGAAAACCATAAACCTAACTGATCTCCACCCTTAAAGAGGAAGGATACTGACACAGAATAGGTTTGGAGAGAATGATGTTGGCTGCTGGATTATCGGGATAGAATTGGGTTTGGGCTGGGATGGAGATGATAATGGGGTACACAGGACGAGAGATTCATGTAAATTGGGTTTGAGGCTGCTGGTCGGCACTGGATTTGGTGCATCGAGGCGTGGTACATTGGGGGTGAGCTGGTGCTCGGGGTTGAGTAGATAGGTGATGAGGTTTATATTGGTGATGGAGGAGGGATTAACTAAAAATGGGGACTGGACACTTCAATAGGTGGGTGGCATAGAAGATGGGCTGGAGCTGGGGAGCGCCATTACAGTGGAGTCTGGTTTGACTAAAAGGATTAGAATTCAAGATAGTAGAACTTAAAATGGAGATTGGGGAGGGTTCACGATGGGAATGGAGGTGGGTGAAGTGCAAGTGTTGTGGGTAGGAATGGAGTGGAGGTTGAAATGGGAGACGTGGGGTAGCGTTGATGAGGGTTGGGATTAAGTTGGACATGAGGACTGGGGCCTGGTAACTTGGCCACTTGATTGAGTTGGAAGTTGAATGATGTGGTTGGGATAGAGGCAGGGATTGGGATGACAATGGGTTTGGAGTCGGATGGAGATGGGGATTTAGACAGTTCAAGATGGTGGTGGGATTTACAGGTGGGAAGGTAGGATAGATTTCACCCTAGATTAAGACTGCCTGGCTCCATCCCAGTTGATAGCTTTTTTTTTTTTTTTTGGTCTTTTTTGAGACAGAGTTTCACTATGCAGTTCATGCTGGCCTTGAACTTACTTTGTAGTCCAGGCTGGCCTCAAATTTGCAGCAGTCCTCCTGCCTCAGCCTCCCAAGTGTTGGAATTACAGGTGTGTGCTGCCATGCCCAGTCCCCATTTGATGTTAGCATTGAATGGCCCTGAATTTCACTAAGATTGAGATGACAACCTCCCACCCCCAGTTCCTCCCTAAACATGGGAAATATTGGGGACAGGTGGAGGAAATGGGGTGGGTGCACGCTTACCATTGCCCTTAGTAAAGTTGAAAAATACAGGATATTCGCCGCGGCCACTGAATTCCTCTGCTTGGTCCACAAGGGCCTCCTTCACGGCTTGATACCCGCTGAGGACCACCACCCTCCTGGGCCCCAGGTACACGGTGAACACTGAGCCATACTCCTTGCTCAGCTAGGGGAAGAAGAAAAAAGTTACAGGGAGCTCTGGGACCATGGACATCTCCTCCTCCCCGTTTCCCAGGATGATGCCCTGCACCTTAGTGAGTGAAGTCAGCAGGTCCTGGGAGCGCAGCTGAAGCAGGTTTCCCAGGAGTGGGACGGGCCTGGGCCCTGGGGGCAGCTGGCCCTTGTCCTTTGAGCTCATGGTCAGGAACAGACAGACCAGAGCCAGGACCAGGAGCAAGATGGCTGTGGTCATGCTGTCCATGCTGAAGACCCCTGCAGGCGTCTGGAAGGCAGAAAGGGAGAGGGCAGAGCTGGGAGACTGGGTTCCTTCTCATGGCCTGCAATTTTCATTCCCCAGGTCCTGGAAATGTGGGTAGGCTAGGAGGAAAGGAGTAAGGAGAAGGAAGCAGACATGGGAGAGTCCAGGGGATAAAGGAGGAGGGAGAGGGAGCAAGAAGGCAGAGGAAGAGGATGGAGACGGAGACAAGAGACACAGAGAACACAAGAGACAGAGGTACTGAGGGACACATAGAGATAATGAGAAGTGCAGAAAAAATGGAGTGTGATGTTTTCACTTGAGACAGAGTCTTGCTATGTAGTACAGGCTGACCCTGAACTTACTGTGGCCCAGGCTGACCTTGAGCTCAAGGCAGTCATCCTGCCTCAGCTTCCCAGTGATGGGATTATAGGGTGTGACATGCCTGGCAAAAGTGTGACACTATGATATCTATATATCCTTAGATTGTCTGTCTGTCTGTCTGTCTGTCTTCTCTTACCCAGTGGTAGAAACAAGATTGATCAGAACAGAGATAGAGCCCAACAGAGAGAAGATCACAGAAGAAGGCATCGACCTACACCGGAGAAAGAAGAGGCAGAATTAGGAAGAGACAGTGCTAGAGAAAAGACAAGAGAGACGGAGATAAAGATACAGAGATAGAACAGGGAGGGAGGCAGAAGGAGAGAGCACGCAAACTGGAGACAGAGGGAGCCAAAGCCACAACAGAGTGGAACAGATACACAGACGCAGAGAGACGTGCAGATTTCCAAAAGAGGTTCCCAGATAGTTGTAGAGGCAGAGATGCAGAGGCACCTCTCTGGGAACAGCTCCCCGGACATCCCTTGGCCAGCACTCTTACCTGCTGTGTGGCAGATGCAGTGAGTCCTGGAACTGTGAGTGTGTTGGGGGGCTGGCAGCTGCTCTTAAATGGTCTGTCCACGCCCTTCCTCTGTGTCTCTGCCCCTTCCTTGGTCCCGTGAATTTAACCCCTCCCCATTCTTCTTACTGTTCCACACCCTCTGTCACAGCCAGCTGGGATGGGGCCAGTGATGTTTCACACCTCAGGAACCCTTGGTCCACCAGCCTGCAGGGTGATCTTAGTGTCAGCTGCCCCCACTGTGGACAGTGGTCAGACGCCTCCCTCCTGGGCCTGGCTGGAACATGTGTGCGTGTGGGGTGATGAGGTTGTGGGGCCTTGGCAAAATGATGGCCCGGGGATGGGCTTGCTCCTTTAGATGTCCTGGATACTTGGGTCCATTTCTCTGGGTTAAGGCTTTGTTTGTTCCTGCCACTCGGTGGCCACTAGACTTTGGACAGACCTTTTCCTTCTTTTCCGTTTTCTCGTATCTGGAGGCCGAGTTTTTTGATAGCTTTTTACTTTTTTTTTTGCTATCGGGGATTGAACTCAGGACCTTGTGCCTACAGGCAGGCCCTTTGCCACTGCGCTAAATCCCCTGCCCTTTGGTAGTTATTTCTGCAGTTCTGTGCTCTTATGGTTTGTCTCTGAAATTCTGTGGATCTCACTGTGATCTCTTTAGCTGAACCTTTTTGTCTTTCTGTGTCTATCTCTGTCTCTCGCATTCCCTCTCCTTGTCCACCCTCTTCTATGCCTCGCTCTCTCTTTCTCTCACTCTCTTTTTCTCTCATCCTATCTCCTGGTAAATCCTTCTCCTCCAATGACTCTTCCCACCTCTCTGTCTGTCTCATCTTCCACGAATCTGTCTGTTTCCATGAGTCAGGCTGGAGTGACCAGTGCTGACATCATGATGACCACCATAGGGGAAAGGCAGGGCCACTGGAACCCACAGGGAGAAAGGACCTTGGACTTGAATTCACCCTCCTCTCTCTCCTTCCAGTGCAAACTCGTTGATTGTCTTCCTTCTGCCCTCTTCTAGGTCTGTTCTTGGATTTTGTCCTGGCATCTGGTCCCAGTGTCCTAACACTGGTCAAAGTCAGATTGCTGAAACCAAAGCTGGCTTCAGCTGGGGTTCCCCTACCCAGGGCTAGGGTAAGGGTGAGAGCTCTTGAGGCCACTTGAGGGACTGGGGAGACCAGGTGGAGACCTGCCCCTGCAGGTCCTTACGTGTGAACCGAGTTTGCTTTGCCTGTGGAGTGCAGGAGGAGGTACACGGAGGTCCTGGGGAACTTGACACCCCAGGTCCCAGGCACAGGTGACACAGAGGTGGGGCCGTCACTGTTATTTCAGACCTGGGAAAGGCTTGTTGGAGCAGGTCCTGGAAGATGGATGAAGGCTAGATTATAGGATTAAAGGTGTCCAGTTTCTTGTGGCAGCAATCCCTGTTTCTAGGAGTGGGTGTGTGCTGGATCCACTCTAACCCTGTGAACAACTCTTCCCTGATCCTTGAACTGGCTTGAGAGGTGATTCAACAGTGAATTTGTGGTTCATGAGAAGCGGAGTTTTAGGGAGCTCTGAGTTCTTCTTGTGGTCTGACTGGCTCTCTGGCTACAGAGAACTTGGAGCCACTGGTGTGTTACAGTTTCTTACCCCAGTGCCGTTGATCTTTTGGGGCTGATAATTCTTCATGTGCATATGTGGCGGGCTGCGGCATGCTCTGCGGGATGTTTACCAGCATGCCCGATTCCTACCCACCAGATGCCCAGAGGCCTTCCCTGCTCCTCTGTGTGTGACACCCAACATTGGCTCCATCCATTGCTGGGTGTCCCCGGGGGAGGGAGAATTAACCGTGGATGTAATGGCTTGCCAGATGTGAGCAACATCAGAGATCTACAGAGTGGGTCTTAGCTGAGTTTATGTAGAATCTTTTGTTAAGTCTGATGCTGTCTGTTTCTTAGTCAGTATCTTGAAACTTTAGAACTTTGACAAAGCTTGCCAAATAAAACAAGACAGTGAGAGTAAAGCAGATCCAGCCTGTGCAGTAGACTTGGACCAAGAACCATATTGACCAAATTATTAAAGAAAGCCAGTATTTTCGTGAAACAAATTTAGTTCTGCCAGAAACCTCTTAAAGCAAATATTTAAGAGTTCCCTCATTTCTTTTTCCTCCCCTCCTCCTCTTCCTCCTCCTCCTCCTCCTTCTTCCTTCTTCTTCCTTCTGACAGGGTGGCCCTGTATACAGTAGCTCAGGCTTGACTTTCATTCAGGATGTAGCCCAGACTGATCTGAAACTCATGGTCACCTTCTGCCTCAGCCTTCTGAGAGCTGAGATTACAGGTGTGTGTTATCACACTCATGAGAATCTCCTATAATAAACAATGTGAATTACCATTTGGAGAAATCCCACAATTTACTAATGCCAAGATCAAGGACTGCCTTGCATATTACAAGCTTGGTAACACTTTAAGGATTTTTTAAGTACACATATAGAACTGTAAAAAAAATTTTTTGAGACAGGGTCTGCTATGTAGTCCAGGCTGGCTTTACACTCACTGTGGAACCCAAGTTGGCCTCAAACTCACAATGATTCTTCTGTCTCAGCCTCCCGAGTGCTGGGATTACAGCTGTGCACCTCCACACCCAGCTACATTTTTATTTTTATTTTTTTTATTCAATGATGCTTTATTTTTAGTACAGAGGCCTTACATTTCTTGTTAAATTTATGATGGAGTATTTCATATTTTTCTACACTATTCTAAGTGAAGATTCTTTCAAATTTAGTTTTCCCTTTTTGCAGTTAGGATATAAAAGCATTGACTTTTGCATATTAATATTCTTTTTTTTTTTTTTGGTACCGGGGATTGAACTCACGACCTCACACTTGGCAGGCAGGTGCTTATGCTGCTGAGCTAAATCCCCCACCTGAATAATATTAATCTACCTTGTAAACCCTCTCACAGTTATTATTACTAATACAATTACAATTACATTGGTTATTTTTTCTACCTTTGGTATGAAATGTATACCAATTACCAATGTATACTATAAAATGTTAATTGCTGTTTACTTCATAAACTTGTTTTTAAATTCTCTATTACTGTTTTTATTATTTTAGTTTTTAAAACAAATTTTAAAAAATTTGTTTTTGTGGTCCCATTCCCATTTTTCTTTTGTTTTCTTTTTCTTTCTTTTTTTTTTTTTTTTTTTTGTCTTTTTGAGACAGGGTCTCACTATGCAGTTCAGGCTGGCCTTGAGCTCACTTGGTAGCCCAGGATGGTCTCGAACTCCCAAAGATCCTCCTGCTTCAACCTCCTGAGTGCTGGGATTGCAGGCATGAGCCACCACGCCTGGCGCCCACTCTTCTTTTCTACCTATTCCTCTCAGCCCCAAACTCCCAGGGACTCACTTCTTCCTTTTGAAATGTAATCAGATCCTTCTCACCCTCTCCCTCAGAGCCTACACATCACCTACCTGCCTTCTCAGGCACCAGAAGTGGGCAGCCAGTGGGGAGAGCTACAGAGCCCAAGAGGGTGTGGTTGGTATCACCCTTGGGAGCCCATAGCCTGGAAGGGTTTTAAAGACAAAAATAATAAAAACAATGATGGGGAATTTGAAAACAAGTTAATAGGAGATTAACAATGATTAATATATTGGGTATTATTTTCTTCAAAGTAGTTGTTTATATATATATATGTATGTCTATATATTTTTTCTTTTCCCTTCCTTCCTTCTTTCTTTCTCCCATCCTTGTTGTTCTTTCCTTTTCCTTTAGCAATATCTACTGTACATTTTGGATCTTATTTACTCTTTCAGTTTCTTACACTAAGGAGACAATACGATGTTTACACATGTGAGTCTGATTTATTTCACTTATGAGTATGGTCTCAAGTTGCATCCATTTACTCATAAAAGCCTTGAATTTATCCTTCTTTATAGTGAGTAGTACTCCATTATATAAAAATATCACATCTGTTTTATGCATTCCTTGGTTGATGGGTATTTGGGTTGTTTCCAAGATTTAGCAATTACAAATTGTACAGCCAAACATGCACATAAATGATTTTAATTCTTCTGGCAAATACCCCAGAGGGGCAATAGCTGGGCTGAATGGACCTCTAATCCTAGTTTTTTGAGGAATCTTCGCACTGACTGCCAGTGGTAGCACAGTGTACACTCCCACCGACATAGTGAAGGATTCCTTTATCTCCTCAGCCCAACAGTATTTGTTATTGGTGGATTTCTTGATGGTAGGCATTTTTTCTGGGGTGAGATGGAATCTCAGTGTGGTTTTAATTTGCATTTCTCTAATGACTAATGATGCTGAACATTTCTTCATGTACTGATTTGCCATTTATATTTCTTCATCTGAGAAGTGTGCATTTATCTCAGATGCCCATTTTTGGATTGGGTCTTTGAATTTGGGTGGCCTGATTTTTTAAAATTCTTTATATGTTCTAGATAGAAGTCCTTTGTCAGAGGGACAGTTGACTAAAATTTTTGTCAATTTGTGAGTTTTCTTTCCATTCTGTTGGTGATTTCTTTCTTTCTTTTTTTTTTTTTTTTTGTATCAGGGATCAAACTCAGGACCTTGCGCTTGCCAGGCAAGTGTTTCTGCCACTGAGCTAAATTCCCGGCCCTGTTGGTGATTTCTTTTGATGTGCAAAAACTTTTTGATAAGATGAAGTCCCAGTTGTTGATTCTTTTAAGTACTTCCTCTGCAGCTGGGTTTTTGTTCATGAACTTTTTGCCTACCCCTAGGTCTCCAACATTTCTACCTACTTTGTCTGCTAGTAGATTTAGTGTTTCTGTTTTAATATTTAGATCTTTGATCCATTTAACTTTAGTTTAGTGCATAGTGATAGACATGGGTCTAGTTTTAGTCTTTGACATATGGAAAGCCAGCTTTACCTGCACCATTTATTTTTTCTTTTCTTTTTTGTTTTAAAAAGCAAAACAGAAAAAAAGGATAGAGATGATACAGAATTTCATAAAAGGAACAAAAGTAGGGAATTACACTAGTTAATATATTGCACGTTGTTATCTCAGAACTAGTTGTTCAGGTTACGAAATCTAGATAGAAAAGTGATCAGGCAAACAGTGACAGCACAAACTATTCTTTTTGATGAGCTAAGAGAGATCAGTA